GACCAAAGAAATTTCTAAGCAGCAAAGCATTCAGGACACTGCGTGGCTACTTCTAACAGCCTACTCTGAGTTATGGCGGCAAAGGCATGATGTAAAGCCAGAATTTAAAACGGAAGCAGAGCGTAAAGATTTGGAAACTTTGCAGCCTGGCCATACGGTAAAGCAGCAGAGAGCTGGACAACAAAGCAAGGGTGAAGCAGATAAACTGGTTGCTAAAGGCATTATCTTGGTGGTGAGGCAGCCAGATGCTAATAACCAGGACAATGGAAAAAATGCCCTAAAGGCATTTGAGAAGTCTGGAAGGGTGCCCCATCCATCACAGACCTGGAGGCCTAGAAGGACTGAGTTATCCTGGAGGACAGACCCGGGGCACAGCTGCCCTCCTGAACCTGCTCCCTGCATCCCAGCTGCTCCGGCTAGAGCGGCCCCAAGTGTGGTTCGTGCCACAGCCCTGGAGAGTAGAGGCCCAAAACCTTGGTGGCATCCATGTTGTTTTAAGTCTGCAGGCTGGCAGGACGTGAGAGCAGTGGAGTCATGGCAGCCTTCACCCAGATTCCAGAAGATGTATGGAAAAGCCTGAAAGCCCAGGCAGAGACCTGCCACAGGGTCGGAGCCACCACAGAGGTCATCTACTAGAGCAATGCCGAGCTGAAAAGTGGGGTTGGAGCCCCCACAGAGAGCCCCCACCAGGGAAATGTCTAGTATAGCCAATGTAGCAGGGCTGCCGCCAGGACCCCAGAACTGTAGGGCCACTGGTAACGTGCAATGTAGGCCTGGAAAAGCCACGGTCACCAGTGTGGCCTGCTGGGCTGTGCCTGGCAGAGCTGTGAGAACAAGGCTACCTGATGTTTTGGGGGCCCAGATGCCCAATTGTGCCCAGGATGCAGGACTTCGAGTCAAAGAAGATTATTTTGGAGCTTTAAGATTTAATGTCTGTCCTGCTGGGTTTCGGACTTGTTTGGGACCTGTTTTTCCTTTCTTTTGGCCTATTCCTCCCTTTTGGAATGGGAATGTATACCCAATGTCTGTTCCACCATTGTATCTAGGCAGTAGATAAATTTGGTTTTGTTTTTCAGGTTCACAGCTGGAAGGACTTTTGCTTTTGGTCTCAGATGAGATTTTGGACTTTGGACTTTTAAGTTGGTGCTGGATCAAGAATGATTGTATTTTGTTTGTGAGAGGGACATGAGTTTTGGGGGGCCAGGGGTGGAATGATGGAGTTTGGATGTGTTGTCCCCTCCAAAACTCATGTGGAAATCTGATCCCCAATGTGGCAGTGTTGGAAACTGATTGAGTCATGGGGGCAGATCCCTCATGAATGGATTAATGCTCTCCCTGGGGAAGGAGAGAGTAATGAGTGAGTTCTCGCTCTATTAGTTCCTGCGAGAGCTCGTTGCTTAAAAAGACCCTGGCACCTCCTCTCTCTCTCTCTTGCTTCCTCTTGCCATGTGATCTGCTTGTACCCGCCGGCTCCCTGCCACTTTCCACCATGAGTAGAAGCAGCCTGAGGCCCGTGCCAGATGCAGCTGTTCCAGAATCGTAAGCCAAATAAACCTCTGTTCTTTATAAATTACCCAGTCTCAGGTAATTCTGTTATAGCAACACAAAACGGACTAAAACAAATGCTTTCATGTTGAGTATGGTCTAGAAGGGAGGAGAGACATCCAGGCAGAGCCTTAGTTTATGCAAAGTCACAGGAAGATGAAAAAGTAGGTAGAAGTGAGAAGAGTGTATCTGAAATTTAGGGTGAGAAGGGTGAAATGTAGGGTGAGAAGAAAAGGACGACTGTTACATATCCCAAGTGCTACATGTAACCTGGCAAAACCTCAAGATGTAATTGACCAGCTGGCAAACAGTGAAGGTGCCCACGTGCATTTTAGGAGGTGGCTGTTACCTCCAGGATTGAACATTGACATGAGGTAAGACCAGCTACGAGATTTGTGAGGCTCAGTGCACAATGAAAACACGAATGCCTTTGTTCAAAAATTAAGAACTACAAGATGACAGCACTGGAGCACTAAATGAAGCATGGGGCCCTTCAGAGCATGGAGTTCTATGCAACTGCACAGGCCTCATGCCCAGGAAGCTGGCCCATTCATAGGGCTGGGAAGGGACCTGCCTCTGGCCTACAATGTGGCCTGGGCCTAATTCTCACCAGCTCTGTAATCATTGCAAAAGCCAGCCTCCTACCCTTGTGCTGTGAACAGGGAGAATCAGGGCAAGGTTAGCCCAGGCTGAGAATGCTCCCTGACACTGTGTTGCTGGGCTGATTTTCCTCTTCCTACCATAAGCAAAGATGCACAGACAGACCCTGCTTTCTGCCTTGACAAATTCCTCTTCCCTTCCACCAGCCCCTATAGCTGGCTCTAAGGACACTGCAGACAAGGGTATCTATATAGTCACATGGCTGGGCTCTTAGGCATCCAGGTAGTAGAAGAACTACTTTTCAGAAGACTGAGAGGTAAGTGTGGAGGCCATCTGGGATTGGAGTCAGCGCTTAGGCATATATGAGATAGAAATTCTCAGACTGTGTCCAATAACAAAATTATTAATACATAATATATAATGTTTATAGTCTTTCCTCTTTCCCTGCTACCAAAGAGAATTCTGCTTTTGCCTCTTCAACTTCGCCCTTTATTCTGCTCTCCAGGGAACTGTCTTTGCCAGCCAATGTTCAGTTTTTGTGCTCTAGAACAAGGGTAGTGGGTAGAGGGAGGTAAAACTAGAAGCTGGTATGAAATAAAAGGCTTTCCATGGAAAAAACCAATATAAGAAGCCAAAAGAAAGGCAGAGAGAAAGTAAACAGAGAAGCCAAGAAGGTGCTGTTTTAAAGGAATTTATAGATAGAATTTGAGAAGAAGGTTCTGAGAAAGACTTAGGGAAGCCATGGATTGAAAGAGATATTAAAAGCCAGAGGAGGGCCGGCCCGGTGGCGCACTGGATAGTGCGCCGCTTGGGAAGCGCGGTGGTGCTCCCGCCCAAGGGTTCGGATCTCACATACAGACCGGTTCCCGCTCACTGGCTGAGCGAGGCATGGGGGCGACGCTGAGGGTTGCAATCCCGTTGCCGGTCCCCGGCCCGGTGCGGGGGCAACACTGAGGGTTGCGATCCGTTGCCGAACACGGAAAAAGACAAAAAAAAAAAAAAAAAGCCAGAGGAAATGGAGAAAGGGAATATAAGAAAATATTGCTGAGTGTTATCATTTGGATTTCACTTTGGTGA